AGGTTTTAGTATATGATATGTTGGTGATTAATGTACTATGCAGGCGAAAACGCTAGAAATATAATAAAGTGAATGATACTATATTTTTTTTATAATACTTTTTTTAAAAGCACATCCACTCTAGAGGAAATAATTCGGAAAGAATAATATAAATAAAATAATTAGTATTATTTTGTTTGTTTGATCGTACAAATGTCTGGAACTCTATACTATTCAATACGGTTAAAAAAATATTTTGTATTTTATATATTACTAGCGACTCACTCTCGCTTCGCTCAGTTTCTTCTCTTGGCACGTATTAATGGTTAGTATGGAATAAATAATCGATCCCTTCCTCTGTGAAAAACAAAAAACATATGTATGCCACGGTAACCGTACATTTTTCCGGGATAAAAGTAACCTATGTGCTATTCCAGACTATAATCTATCACTGTACCAAATTCCATCCAGATCAGTTCAGCCGTTCTAGCATGATTGAGTAACAAACATCCATCCAAACCTTCGTATTTATAATACATATTAATATTAATCGTATATACTTAATAGAATTTATTGCACCTACGAGTCTTAGAATTTAATATATGCGATCGGAGCCGTTAGTAGTTATTAGTGTAAAGAAAAGTACATATTCTAACCAAGTAGGAAAAATAAAAAGGGGAAGGGTTTTATTCTACTTATACATCAAAACTCGTTGAATTTAGTTTCTCGTAGAAATATATTCAATTGTCTACGAGAACGTTCTGGGGAAATTAGACGAACGTGTCGGCCTGTAGGCGTTAGTACCTACCTGTATAGTTCATTACAATGGCGCTGAATAATGCAAAGGCGTGTCGTGACACGGATTATTTCCTCTATTATAATATCTCTCAAAATCAAAATTTAGTTGCAGTTGTTTATGATGTGTCTATGGATTATAGAACCAGAGAAATGAATGTAGTGTCTCTATAATGAAGTAGAATTCGAACTTACTATTTCCGACGTATGATGCAATGCCAATAGTTTAATCTACAATATGCACTGCCTCCACTATTCTTCGTCTAATCTATACATATAATAAAATTGTAACTAAGCCGAATCTGTACATTAGATATTTTTTGGAAAATCTAATTGAAATAGACATTATTATCGATACAGAGGCCGAATCTATAGATTTTAGAATTTTTGTCTGTCTGTCTGTCAGTCTGTTAGCGCATCACAGAAAAACCACTAGAGGGATTTTAATGAAATTTAGTGTGATGGTAGGTGGTTATCCGGGTCAGTCAACATATAGGGTACTTTTTACCGCGGGAAAATATCTCATTTTGAAGAAAAAATATAAAAACCGCAATGTAAGAGTATACTAATATGTAAAACCTAAGAATTTTGTTTTTGGTCATCTGAACGCGCGCGGAGCCGCGGGCAAAGCTAGTTAACAGTATATTCTTTATTTGTATATATACTATTATTTCAATTATTTATAATGGGCGGATATTTACAATACAGTAGAAGCCAAAACAATAGTTTTAACAATTTTGAATTGTTTGTCATCTGTCTATCATTTTTCGTGGACGGATGGATTGAAGTTTCGTTTATACTATACATATCTAACATTTAAAATAAAGATTAGTTATGTTTTAATCGGTATTTTTTTTATACCACGTCGGTGGCAATCAGGCATGCGGCCCGCCTGATGGTTAGCGGTTACCACAGCCTATGGACGCCTGCAACACCTGGGGCAACACATGCGCGTTGCCGACCCTTTAAGAACCTATTTACTCCCCTTTTGAAGGACCCCATACTGTAGCCCTCTGGGAAAACCTCGGCAGGGAGTTCATTCCACAGCGAGATGGTCCGTAGGAGAAAATTCCTCTGAAACCGAACTGTACGGGACCATTTGGGCTGCAATGTGTGAGCATGAACTCGCTGTCGATGGCGAGCGGTGTGGTGATAGAAAGTGGCCGTGGGCATCATTTCGAACAATTCTTCGGAACACAACCCATTGTTATTTGTTGCCTTCTGTTATTTTTTCCCTCATATAAATAATAACAATCCCTTATTTCAGTACAGACATTGATGATGTTCTCCTAGTTGATTCCGGCTATGGCGGCCAATCTCATTGAGACTAGCCAACTGCGCAGGAGATATTATAGTGCAGCGCGTGTACGCGCAGACACAAGTGCACTCTCTATTACGTCACTCTCATACTCCGGTGGGACGACAACTCGACAGGACCAGTGACTAGTGCGCATTAAGCGCAGGACCGACGGCTTTACGTGCTTTACGTCCGAGGCACGGGGGTGAAACGCCGCCAACTTCCCAACTCCGGGCTGTTACTGAGACTTACTATACAGAGAGACTAAATAACTAAACTTGGCCCGACCCGGGAATCCGAGAGTGCAGCCGTACATGCTAGCCACTACACCACCGAGGCAGTACAGATATTATTGTATTAACTATTTTATGTATTGAAAAATGAAAAATATTTTATATTTTTTTTTATATATTATTTATTAAACAGTAGGGGAATTAATATTTTCTTAAATAACATTTTGTTAGAGTGGATGCCAAAATAATATATTTAATCTTGTCTGTTTGGTTTGGCGTGAATCCTTTCGCGTCACGGCTTCATGGATATCAATGGAGTTTTCTTAATAATTCTCATCTATACATATAATAAAATTGTAACTAAGTCGAATCTGTACATTAGATATTTTTTGGAAAATCTTATTGAAATAAACATTATTATCGATACAGAGGCCGAATCTATAGTTTTTAGAATTTTTGTCTGTCTGTCTGTCTGTCTGTTACCGCATCACAGAAAAACGACTGGAGGGATTTTCATGAAATTTGGTATGGTGATAACTGATTATTCCGGTCAACATATAGGATACTTTTTACCGCGGGGAAATATCTCATTTCTGAGAAAAAATACAAAAACTGCAATGTAAGAATATTCTAATATGTAAAACCTAAGAATTTGGTTTTTGGTCACCTGAACGCGGGGGGAGTCGCGGGCAATGCTAGTATTAACTAAATTAAAATAGAATGACGTGTATTTAAACGATTTCAATTGGTGAGTCCTTAAAATATAATGAAAAACAAATGAATTTTCTTGTAATACGATCTACTTACATATATTTTATTTTGTTAAAATTGTAACTGAGCTCCTTTGTTTATGCATACATATGTTACTTAAGCTTGAAATATTTATAGTAAGCTCTCTTAAGTGATAAGTGATAACTTAATTTTTTTCATCGACATTTTATTCCTTTTTGGCTTAAAAAAATAGTACTTACCAATCCACGTTAACTCTATCTTTATGTGACAGGCTATAAGGGTTTCTGTATTTAGTAAAGCACTAACAAAAAGGGCTAAGGCGAACCCATTTGTTTTTTTTTTCAATTAAATTAACAATTAAAGATGTTTTTGTCGATTTCGATCGAATAGTTAATATGTTTTATTAAAACTTCGATTTTCTTTATGTATTTAATGCAAGATTAATATTTATTTATTAATTTAAAAATTATTGACTAAGAGGATAGTTATAAATAATAAAAAAACTGAAAATGTGCACTGATATTAAAATAATTTTAAATGTTATTCACTGCGATTAAATAATAAGTCAGTAAATGTAACAGCGTTAAAAAATCTGATCTCTAATCTCTGGTAATAGTAAACTCTGGATCTACTGAATCAATTTAGATGAAAATTGGTAAAAAGATAGTCTGAGACCCTGGAAAGGACATAGGATACTTTTTATCTCGGAAATCATCTCTTAGGGGGTGAAAATGGGGATGAAAGTTGTATTGGGAAGCAAGCCAAGGCCGAACCCGAGCGAAGCGAGGATGAGTCGCTAGTGTTTATATATATAAACATACATATTACATACATACAGGTAAAACTCATAACCCTCCTTTTGGACTTCACCGCAGTGGGTTGAAAACAATACTCATACGTAATGTAATAATAGTCACATCTTACTCTATCTTAATAAATTATGTTAACCACAGAATTCAACACGTCTAGACGAGGTCAATTTAAAAAAAAACGTTTAATTATTCTACAATCGTATATTCTGTATACATTTTTTGCTAAAAGAATTTTAATAAGGTAATTGATTATTTATTCAACATATATTCCTATATCGGTTCTATTCATAGAGCGATTAAATATGCAATCTGTACTTTATAAGTAAAATTAGAGTCTCTGTCTATGATTTCAAAATATCTGCCCTATACTACCTACCTAATTCTAAATAACGATTTTTAAAATATTATCTATTTCGTTGGGATAAATCGCAAAACTAAATTGATTTTTTAAGGCTTGTTGTCTAATAATCGCTCGTAATCGTTCGATTCGCTCGAGGTCGTCCATAGGTACGTTTTAACGGTTAATATGGAATAGATACACGGAAAACACGTTATATATCGTGTTTTCCCGTGGGAATGAGATAATCTCCCGCGGTAAAACTAGCCTATGTCACTCTCCAGCCCTCCAACTATCTCCACCCAAAAATCACGAAAATCAGTCACTCCGTTTCGACGTGAAAGAAGGATAAACAAACAAACATACATACAAACAAACAAACAAACAAACAAACAAACAAACAAACAAACAAACAAACAAACAACCATACAAACAAACAAACAAACAAACAAACAAACAAACAAACAAACAAACAAACAAACAAACAAACAAACAAACAAACAAACAGCCAGACAAACAAACATTCACATTTGTAATATTAAGTATGGATACACATTACGTTATTTTATTATATGGTTATTACACGGTGGACTACTATTATAAATGCCAATATTTTTGTATACGTGTGTATATGTATGTTACTCCTTCAGTAAAAAAAGGCTGAAGGGATTTAGATGAAATCAAATATCTAAATACACTAGCATAGGCTACAGTTAGGCACCTCCGAGCGATGTGAGGGTAAGTCAATTGTAACTTATATATTAGCCTTATTTTCTGTCCGCCAAAGTAAAACTGCACACTTGATCTTTTAGTATATGCCTCGACACTGCGGTTTGCGGTCAGGTATATTTCGCTGCCAACGAGACGAAACACTCTAGTTTTTGTTTACCCTTAATCCGTCGCTGAATGCAACATCGTTATTTATATTATGTCTTTATATTTATATAATATCTTTTTATTTACTTATATATATATATATATATATATATATATATATATATATATATATATATATATATATAAGTAAATAAAAATATATAGATATATATATCTTATCATCGTATCCGTGTGATACTCGTAGATTAAAGTGATATAAAAAAACAATATTAGCATCTCATTGCTGCGCACGGTCTTTTGCAGATTGGTGGATTTAACGCCTTCAAGGTAACTTTTAACGAGATTCACTCAGACATATACTCGTAGATATGAAAATAATTACCTACAATAATTACCAAATTATTACAATTCTAAGGCCTTTGATGTTATGTGGTTTTTATGAACCATACGCAACAAGTGAACAGAAATTATCCGCTACAATTTGTAGGTTTATCATAAGATACTTGTGTTTATGGTTTTAACGTTATCATAATAATTATTATTTTAAACAAAACTATACTTAATGTAAAATATTACTTTCAACAGTTTATCTTCACAGCAAACATGGTCAAGTCATGTTTGCTGTAAAGCATTCGAAACGACGTCGGGCACAAAAATATAAAATAAAAGTGCGAGAATATCCGTAAAGATTCATTTCAAATCTCAAATATTCGCGTGTACCTAGCAAAGTTTTATTAGAATAAGTTTTATGCAGGTTTTATTACCCGGATAAAAAATATCGTATGTTTTTGTACAGGATATCTTACGTACGTAATTGGCCAAGATTTTATCCAAACCTGTTTTAATCCAAAATTTTAACGTAATAATTTCATTATTAGTAAAAAACATGACAATCTAATTCAACACATTCTTTAAATGTTCATTATTAGTCTTAAAATGACTTCCAACAATGAAAATAAAAAAAAAATTAAACCATAATTGAAAAAGTTAAGCTACAACAACGAAACATATTCCGTGTGAGCCTCAGCCCTCAGGGAACACCAAGAGTAGTTTCAAGTCACGTACACTAAAGTAATAAACTAGCTCACCAGAGCAAGATTAGACACCACTCGCCCTACGGCGTGGCTCGAAGGGCGGGCGGGGCGTAGTAAACAACTGAAAGCTGAATCTGTCAGCCAGTATCCAAGCCGCATTCGTGCCGACATAACGTTGCTTGATACCAACTGACCGCACACATGGTCACGCGAATAAAACTTTGCAAAAAATCCTCATAAAACAATGGAAATGATGAAATAAACAATAAAATAAGTTGTGGTGCACAGTATAATGTGTTTTCCGTATGCAATGAGTGGTAGGAACAGCTGCCGCTCGCTTTAATAAGCAACATTAAACGAGTCATATGAAAAGGTATGCTTGTATATTTACTTATGTAAATTACTTTATTTTTGATGGCGTAATAAAGCTAAATGTTTCTACGATCATAAATAAACGGAACTTTAAAATGGTACTTATTAAAAATATCTAAAAATTGATTTATAACTTCGAATATTTATTATATTCGTTATTTCATTGTTGTTTCATATGTATGTATTTAAAGAAAACATAATTAAAAAAAATATCATTGCTTTTTGACTCTTTTTTATCTATTGTTACATAATTAGATATATCAGAATAATATTCTTATACAAATTTTATTACAGAAATGATTATTTCTAAGTACTTACACAAACATAACTTACAATTAACTCCTTTGATAACGTTCAGCTCTAACGTGTGTCGAATTGTAAATACAAATTGCAATTTCTAATCAACCTGTTTTAAAATTATGAGCTTCAATACTTTCCTATTATTTATAATTTCTCTTCATTTAATCAATTATGTTTGATTCAGTTTTCTAAAATCAATATAATATTTAGTTTATTCTGATTTTAATATTAACTTTAAATATTTATAACACCATTTAAATCTACTATATCTCTATAAGAATTTTCATCAACTTGTTAATATTTCGTCACACTGTAATAGCCATGTCAGTGAACTTAGCAGATCATTGTCCAGCAGATCAAAAAAAAAAGTGAGTTCTATTCGCATGCACGAGAGTTCTATAGTTCCTGATACTTTTTAGAAATAGTTCTGGCGTTTTTACCTTAAAAAAAGTCAATTGACAAAATGATCTGCTAACTTCCCGTAGCAGATCATTTTGCACAAAATCAAAAACAAATGTGAGTTCTTCGCGCAAGGAGCTGAGTTCTACAGTTCCTGATACTTTTCAGGAATAGTTCTGGACTCTCAGCCAAGTTCCAGCAGATCATATCCGAATTTTTGAAAAGTCAGAACATACCATTTTTATTGTTTCAAATTATTGTAAAAGGCTAGAACTCTTTCGCATATCACCGATCTGTATCAGAACTCTAATATAGAACTCGATTCGAGTCCAGAACTCACGTCCAAGTGCCAGCAGAGCATACCAGAACGTTGGAAAATGTGAAAAAAAAAACTATTTTCATTGTTTTAAATTATTTAGAAAGGCTAGAAGTTAGAACTCTTTCGTTTATAACAGATCTGTACCAGAACTCTAATATAAAACTCGATTCGAGTCCAGAACTCACGTCCAAGTGCCAGCAGAGCATACCTAAACGTTGGAAATTATGAAAAAAAAAACCTATTTTTATTGTTTTAAATTATTTAGAAAGGCTAGAAGCTAGAACTCTTTCGTTAATAACAGATCTGTATCAGAACTCTAATATAGAACTCGGTTCGAGTCCAGAACTCACGTCCAAGTGCCAGCAGAGCATACCAGAACGTTGGAAAATATGAAAAAAAAACCTATTTTATTGTTTTAAATTATTTAGAAAGGCTAGAAGCTAGAACTCTTTCGTTTATAATAGATCTGTACCAGAACTCTAATATAGAACTCGATTCGAGTCGAGAACTCACGTCCAAGTGCCAGCAGAGCATACCTGAAGGTTGGAAAATATGAAAAAACAAACTATTTTCATTGTTTTAAATTATTTAGAAAGGCTAGAAGTTAGAACTCTTTCGTTTATAACAGATCTGTACCAGAACTCTAATATAGAACTCGATTCGAGTCCAGAACTCACGTCCAAGTGCCAGCAGAGCATACCTAAACGTTGGAAATTATGAAAAAAAAACCTATTTTTATTGTTTTAAATTATTTAGAAAGGCTAGAAGCTAGAACTCTTTCGTTTATAATAAATCTGTACCAGAACTCTAATATAGAACTCGATTCGAGTCCAGAACTCACGTCCAAGTGCCAGCAGAGCATACCTGAAGGTTGGAAAATATGAAAAAACAAACTATTTTCATTGTATTAAATTATTCAGAAAGGCTAGAAGCTAGAACTCTTTCGTTAATAACAGATCTGTATCAGAACTCTAATATAGATCTCGGTTCGAGTCCAGAACTCACGTCCAAGTGCCAGCAGAGCATACCTGAAGGTTGGAAAATATGAAAAAACAAACTATTTTCATTGTTTTAAATTATTCAGAAAGGATAGAAGCTAGAACTCTTTCGTTAATAACAGATCTGTATCAGAACTCTAATATAGATCTCGGTTCGAGTCCAGAACTCACGTCCAAGTGCCAGCAGAGCATACCTAAACGTTGGAAATTATGAAAAAAAAACCTATTTTTATTGTTTTAAATTATTTAGAAAGGCTAGAAGCTAGAACTCTTTCGTTTATAATAGATCTGTACCAGAACTCTAATATAGAACTCGATTCGAGTCCAGAACTCACGTCTAAGTGCCAGCAGAGCATACCTAAACGTTGGAAATTATGAAAAAAAAACCTATTTTTATTGTTTTAAATTATTTCGAAAGGCTAGAAGCTAGAACTCTTTCGTTTATAATAGATCTGTACCAGAACTCTAATATAGAACTCGATTCGAGTCCAGAACTCACGTCCAAGTGCCAGCAGAGCATACCTGAAGGTTGGAAAATATGAAAAAAACAAACTATTTTCATTGTTTTAAATTATTCAGAAAGGATAGAAGCTAGAACTCTTTCGTTAATAACAGATCTGTATCAGAACTCTAATATAGATCTCGGTTCGAGTCCAGAACTCACGTCCAAGTGCCAGCAGAGCATACCAGAACGTTGGAAAATATGAAAAAAAAAACCTATTTTTATTGTTTTAAATTATTTAGAAAGGCTAGAAGCTAGAACTCTTTCGTTTATAATAGATCTGTACCAGAACTCTAATATAGAACTCGATTCGAGTCCAGAACTCACGTCCAAGTGCCAGCAGAGCATACCTGAAGGTTGGAAAATATGAAAAAACAAACTATTTTCATTGTTTTAAATTATTTAGAAAGGCTAGAAGTTAGAACTCTTTCGTTTATAACAGATCTGTATCAGAACTCTAATATAGAACTCGATTCGAGTCCAGAACTCACGTCCAAGTGCCAGCAGAGCATACCTAAACGTTGGAAATTATGAAAAAAAAAACCTATTTTTATTGTTTTAAATTATTTAGAAAGGCTAGAAGCTAGAACTCTTTCGTTTATAATAGATCTGTACCAGAACTCTAATATAAAAATCGATTCGAGTCCAGAACTCACGTCCAAGTGCCAGCAGAGCATACCTAAACGTCGGAAATTATGAAAGAAAAACCTATTTTTATTGTTTTAAATTATTAAGAAAGGCTAGAAGCTAGAACTCTTTCGTTTATAATAGATCTGTACCAGAACTCTAATAAAGAACTCGATTCGAGTCCAGAACTCACGTCCAAGTGCCAGCAGAGCATACCTAAACGTTGGAAATTATGAAAAAAAAAACCTATTTTTATTGTTTTAAATTATTTAGAAAGGCTAGAAGCTAGAACTCTTTCGTTTATAATAGATCTGTACCAGAACTCTAATATAGAACTCGATTCGAGTCCAGAACTCACGTCCAAGTGCAAGCAGAGCATACCTAAACGTTGGAAATTATGAAAAAAAAAACCTATTTTTATTGTTTTAAATTATTTAGAAAGGCTAGAAGCTAGAACTCTTTCGTTTATAATAAATCTGTACCAGAACTCTAATATAGAACTCGATTCGAGTCCAGAACTCACGTCCAAGTGCCAGCAGAGCATACCTGAAGGTTGGAAAATATGAAAAAACAAACTATTTTCATTGTTTTAAATTATTCAGAAAGGCTAGAAGCTAGAACTCTTTTGTTAATAACAGATCTGTTTCAGAACTCTAATATAGATCTCGGTTCGAGTCCAGAACTCACGTCCAAGTGCCAGCAGAGCATACCTAAACGTTGGAAATTATGAAAAAAAAAACCTATTTTTATTGTTTTAAATTATTTAGAAAGGCTAGAAGCTAGAACTCTTTCGTTTATAATAGATCTGTACCAGAACTCTAATATAGAACTCGATTCGAGTCCAGAACTCACGTCTAAGTGCCAGCAGAGCATACCTAAACGTTGGAAATTATGAAAAAAAAAAACCTATTTTTATTGTTTTAAATTATTTCGAAAGGCTAGAAGCTAGAACTCTTTCGTTTATAATAGATCTGTACCAGAACTCTAATATAGAACTCGATTCGAGTTCAGAACTCACGTCCAAGTGCCAGCAGAGCATACCTAAACGTTGGAAATTATGAAAAAAAAAACCTATTTTTATTGTTTTAAATTATTTAGAAAGGCTAGAAGCTAGAACTCTTTCGTTTATAATAGATCTGTACCAGAACTCTAATATAGAACTCGATTCGAGTCCAGAACTCACGTCCAAGTGCCAGCAGAGCATACCTGAAGGTTGGAAAAATGAAAAAAACAAACTATTTTCATTGTTTTAAATTATTTAGAAAGGCTAGAAGCTAGAACTCTTTCGTTTATAATAGATCTGTACCAGAACTCTAATATAGAACTCGATTCGAGTCCAGAACTCACGTCCAAGTGCCAGCAGAGCATACCTAAACGTTGGAAATTATGAAAAAAACAAAACTATTTTTTTTATTGTTTTAAATTATTAGAAAGGCTAGAAGCTAGAACTCTTTCGTTTATAACAGATCTGTACCAGAACTCTAATATAGAACTCGATTCGAGTCCAGAACTCACGTCTAAGTGCCAGCAGAGCATACCTAAACGTTGGAAATTATGAAAAAAAAACCTATTTTTATTGTTTTAAATTATTTAGAAAGGCTAGAAGCTAGAACTCTTTCGTTTATAATAGATCTGTACCAGAACTCTAATATAGAACTCGATTCGAGTCCAGAACTCACGTCCAAGTGCCAGCAGAGCATACCTAAACGTTGGAAATTATGAAAAAAAAAACTATTTTTATTGTTTTAAATTATTCAGAAAGGCTAGAAGCTAGAACTCTTTCGTTTATAATAGATCTGTACCAGAACTCTAATATAGAACTCGATTCGAGTCCAGAACTCACGTCCAAGTGCCAG